CAGGAGGTAGGTAACAAAAACAGGTTGCTATGGCTATGGCTGGGAAAGGGATTGCTGTAGAGAACGGGACAATTCTGGGGACGATGATCCAAACAGGGAAAGCGGCTGTGCGCACGCGGGTGACGAGGATAACTCGAGCAGTCATTTTGTGGATTGTGATCAAGATTTAGATGACAATGAGCAGCAGCACAACATCAAGAACAACGGCGACTGTGCAAGGAAGATGGGTCTTAACCACCTTAGGGCTACTATATTGCAGGCCAAGCAAATGGCTGGACGAGGTAAATAATCTATAAGATCAGGTTTATTTGTTTGCTTTTTGTACTGTCCTCTTTGTACTTCTTTTTTTCTTTTTCATCAGTTGAAATAAGCATGGTATGAGAAAAGAAAAAAGTTCTATTCTACCGGTTCTGTTAACTGCATGATTTTCCTTATGCAGTTTACTAATTCATTCACATATTCTCTTATGATTATGTGGGACTTTTCTCGAAAACTTCTGATATTAGCTATTTGTGCAAGCTTCCTAAGAGCCATTAAGGAGATTGTTTCAGCTTGTGTCGTTTATGCAAACAGGTTCTTTGTTGTGGTAAAGATGGTACTCTAGAACCACATATGTTGAATTAAGAACGCCACTACACCCTTTCATGTGTGTAGCGAAAAGTCATACGCACATACATATTTTAGGTTAGTTATGATTTTCGCCTTCAGAAGAGCTCAAAGTTGGATTGGGAGCTAATGTCCGGAGATCATATTGACATGCCGAGTGCCAGTTTTAGAAGAACATCACTACAATCAATTTTGAGACTCCAAACAATTTTCTGTCTGGAACGACTTTTAAGGTGCACTTCTATCTGAATCTTTATTTCCTAAAGAATACAATTTCATGACCTTGTCGCTTGAAGAGATATGTTTGTAATTTATAATTATAGCCCACGGGCATGTTTTCAATTGAAATTAGATCGATTGAATATATTGGACATGATAATGCGCTGGGTAGCAATGAAAAGAACATAATAAAACGTAAGCAAAGTAATGTGTGATCAATACATATCATAGAGGTAGGAAGATACATGGCAACAAACAAAAACTAACAGAATCCCAAGAGACATCTGATAATCAACGAACATGCTAATAAATTCTAAGTAAAAACCCGCTGAGACAAGCGATGGATCAATGGTACTAAAATCTTCAGGGGCTTGTGGCTGGAGGTGGGGTGAGGAAAGGAATAGAGGGGATTTTAGGGAGAGAAGTAGGGATGCTTGGCATAGGCGGCAAGGTGGTCGGCATGGTTGGCAAGCCTGGAAGCGGTGGCAAAGTAGTCTTGGGCAATGTCGGCTGGGTGGTGGGCAGAGTCGACAGTGTGGGCTGAGGCAGGGTTGTCGGGATGGCAGGCATGGGCGGCAAGGCGACCTTAGGCAATGTCGGCATGGCCGGAAGTGGCGGCATCATTGTTGGGTTTGGTAAAGTTGGTATGGTGGGAAGAGGCGGTATGGATGGCATGGCTGCTTGCAGCAGATGATGAGCTCCGAGGCTCATGTTCATGCTTGAGAAAATTAGGGCAACGAAAAGTACAAAACTCTTCCAGGAAGAAGCCACATTTGCAAGCGGGCAATAGATTCTATGTTGTGATAGGCTCAAGGACTTGAAATTGATGAGATGAGAGGAAGGGGATTGGAGTTTATATAGCAAGAAATATTGCTGGGTAGAAATTAGGGTTTGTGATGATAGGTTGGTGACTTTGCCTTAGGGTACGGTTGGGAAACAATGGAAAGATGAGATGTCTTGATTGGTTCTTTAGTTAGTTCACCTCCTCATCTCAATCTTCCACCGGCATAAAGCAAAAGGTCAAACCTGCTTATTGCTGTTTGACCTGCCAGACGGCATTGTGTTCATGGAGTCAAAGCTTCATTCGAACTTCTTTTTCTTTTCTTAATGGAAGGTGACTAAATAAACAACTTTGTTTTGAATATAATTAAGTCCAACGCCTTGCTGCCTCGTAAGTTGGGTGATTATTAGGGTATCAACTCGCTTCTTGATTTTTGAACATATGGAGCTAGGGTTTTCGTGTGCGGTGTCATGGGGCCCATCGTACTTTGCAGATCATTAATCCTAATTTTTTATTAATATATATTTTTTGACATTTACCGACACTTATTGAAATTTACTGACATGGGAAAAAATTCCGTATACTTGGGCACGGAACGATAGAATTATGGGCTATTGTACTTAAGATATGTAGACATGTTTGTTTATAATTAGCAAAAAAAAGCAAAGAAGAAAATTTTAAATTTTATTCACATTTCAGAGGTGTGTTTGTTTGTGATTTTCATAAAGTAAAAAAGAAATGTTTTACTTTCCCCCCAAAACTTAAAATATTATTCAAATTTAAACAGATTGTGAAAATAAATTATATTTGAATATATCTGTCAATATTTATGTTTTTTGAATTCAAGTGTTTTAGTATAAAAAAAGTCAAGGTGCGTCTGATACAAGATTTTGGTTAAGCAAATAAAAATCCATCCAGGCATGTCCATATTTAAATTCCCCTTCAACATCAGAAGATTGTGAAAGCTTTAGAAATTAAAGTCAAAGTACATGAGCCGTAAAATTAAATAACGAGGTACATTTTTGGCACATTCGGGGAGCGTTCGTTTCGTGAAAAATGAGTAATTTGAAAAATATTTTCAAAAAATGATTACTTATATCGTTTAGTAAAATTAGTCAACAGAAATTACTTTCATTATTGGAAATAATCTATGCCTACCTATTTTCATGGGCGATGAAAAAAATTTTCATTTATTTATTTTTCTAAATGATATGAACAAATATTTTTCGAAAAATATTTTTTAAATTACTCATTTTCCGCGAAACGAACGCACCTTATAAAAGTAGATAAGCCTCCATTTCTGACCATCATCCATGCCTCTGCAATGCTGAATAGTACTATCACAAGTTATAAACAAAATCTTTTCTGTCATTTTAATATTCACATAACGAGGTATATTTTTGTTTAAATTGAATTAGATTTTTTCTATCTTGATTTCTTTTCATTATAACACAACGTTTTCTAAAAACAAGAAGATTAAAGTAATGGGTAATTAGCAAGTACTTATAATTAGTGGATATTAACTGAATATAAAACATATACATTTTTTAAAAGCATATTAGGGGGGCGGAATTAGCGGGTGTAGCTGGGGTGGCTAGCGCCCCAAAATGACGCAAGGCCCGGCGGAGCAAGGAGAATCCGCACCCTCTGCCATCTCGAGTTGGGATCGCAGTTCATACTCTTGTTACAAGTAGCAGAACAAAAGCTTTACCTTCATCTAAGGTTGTGATGGCCATGGTCGCCCCTTGTAGAGGTCAACATGGTTGACGAATGAGAGACAGAGCGAGAGTCGAGAAAAAACGAGGGTGAGGATGGTGGGCACCCAGGAGGGGGATCGCCGATGGTGGTAGCACGACCAGCGGCAAGGGGAGTCGCGGCCAATGGTAAGCAAGGGTGGTAGTAGAATTGGGTTGAGGATGGTGGTAGGATGGGTATTTTAGTCATTTCATTGTGATCGAGGTAAGTGATAATGTAATAAAAAGTTAGAGATGTCTTTTTTTTTTTAATTTTCCTTTTTTTTCTTGATGTGAATGGTTTCAGGAGGGTGGGTCCATTCCCAACTTGGAACATAAAACCTGGAATCAGATGCGGTAGGGTTGGTTCCTAGTTTGAGGAACAAGAAACCAACTCACCTGGTCCTGGAATCACACCAACCAGTCTAGTCCGATTCTAGGGTCTATCCCAGAATTGGTGATTTGTTCTTTTCTTTTTTTTGTTTCTACTATTCCCTACAAATGGGAGTTTCCAACATTAAAAAAACAAAATAACTTAGGGTTATTATCACGAAAAACCCCAAATTGATACACCTATAACAAATTTGCCTCAAACTAATTTTTTAACCATAAAAAACCCCAAACTGGTATACCTGTGACAAATTTATCGTCCGTTAAATTTTACTATCAAATTGCTTAGTTAAATGACACATGTCAGTTGACAAATGAACCAGTTTGGAGTTTTACCTTCCGTTTGTCTCAGATATACTAGTTTGTGATTTTTTTGTACTAATTCAATTTAATGTAGGGTAAATTTGTCATAAATGTACAATTTTGGGGTTTTTGATGGTCAAAAAATTAGTTTTGGGTAAATTTGTCACAGATGTACCAGTTTGGGGTTTTTTCTTGTATAAACCCAATAACTTACTAATTAAGGTTTGCTTCAAAATAAAAATAAAAAGTTAAGAGATCTTGACCGGTCCTCTGGTCCGATTCCTTATTGGAACAGAGAACTGGACCGATTATTCCCGTTTCAAATTTTATGAAACCGGGAGCCAAACCAACCCTTTTGAGAACCACTCGGTTTCTGCCAATTCGATCCAACTCTCGGGTTGGACCTGGATCGATGAACACCCCTAAGAGATAGGGGTGAGCTTACCATAAAAAAGAATGGCGGTAAGATGCCATATACTGTGTCTAGAACTCAACAATTTGTTACTCATTTTAAGATGTGTTTCCATCTGAATATTTTTCCCTTTTTTTGCTTAAGGGTATATTTCTAAATGGTTAATTTTTTCTCCAAAATAAAGAGGGTGAGACGAGGCGACCAACGTCGGTCACTCCTTGATCATAATCATATTTCTGACTGGTTTAACAATTTGACATAGCGTGTTTCTTTTTCAAAGTGAATGAGATCGATGAAATAATTGACCAAACAAAAGATCGTTTTAATATACTGCACGTTAATGAGCAAAGTAATTACTAATTAGTACATATAATAGTACACTCGAAAACATCTATCCATATCATATCATATCATTTATTAATAACATAACAACAATACAATCCAAAGTACATCTCATGACATGATACATGCACGCGAATAATTCTACAACAACGAAAGGGACAATCCAACATATTAAAATTACACCGAGAGGTAACTACAAAAGTTACTAAATCTCTCAAGGGCTGCTTGCTGGAGGTGGAGTGAGGAAAGGGATGGAAGGAATTTTAGGAAGTGAAGTAGGGATGCTCGGCATGGGTGGCAAAGTTAGCTTCGGGACGGTGGTTGGCATAGTCGGCAAGCTCGGAAGTGGCGGCAGAGCAGTCGTGGGCAATGTTGGCTGGGTGGTGGGCAACGTCGGTATCGTGGGCTGAGGCAAGGTGGTCGGGATGGTGGGAATAGGCGGCATCTTTGGCAATGTCGGCATGGTTGGCAGTGGCAAAGATGTTGGGTTCGGCAGAGTAGGTATGGTGGGCAAAGTTGGTATCGACGGCACAGTTGTTTGTAGCATATGGCGAGCACCAAAGCTCATGTTCACGGTTGAGAAAATTAGGGCGACGACGAGAACAAAGCTCTTCAAGGAAGCCATATTGGTAAACAAAGAGCGAAATTTTGTGCTGTGATAGGCTCAAGGACTTGAAATTGATGAGATGAGAGGAAAGAGAATGGAGTTTATAAAGCAAGAGATGTCGTGTGAGAATTTGGGTTGTCTTAATAAGTTGGTGGCTGGCTTTTTGGCGTAGATAGGAAAAAATAGAAGACGATCTCTTCATTGGTACTTGGTTAGCTCACCTCCTCTTGATCAAATCTCCCACCGGCAAAGGAAGAAGGTCGAAATTTGTTCTTTTATTCTTTGTTTTGATTGGTGAAGGTCAAAACTTGTTGTTAGGGCCATGACCAAGTTTATTGGAGAGTTGTCTTCTTTATATATTAACCTAATGGAAGCCTAAATGATAAATATTTAATAGTTACAGAATTACTGGAAAACATTAATTATTTTACGTGGAATGTTTCGATTGTAACACTAAGGAAAATAGTACATACGAGATGAAATACGATACATGTTGACTATTATAAAATTAGATAATGAATCATTTGTTAAGTAACATAGAAATCAGTATCATATCATATTAGCTGATATATTTGAATCTAATTGGGCTTGCCAAAGCCCTTTCAGCCCAAAGGGCAAAGGGCAATTTTGGCCAAACAATTCCTTTCTTTAGCCCGTTTGGCTCATCTTGGCCTGCCCAATTCTTTATAGGCAAGATCATTAGTACATAGTAAATTTAATGTTTTTTAATCACAATGAGTCTGGATAAAATGGGATTAGAAATACTGTGAATATCCTCCGGATTGTAGAAAATCCTATTATATGTTTGGTGCAATTTAGGATAAGATTGAAAATCATTGAAAATCCTACGATACACTAAAGATTGCATCGATCCTTTTTTTTTTCACCATACATTTGGATGAGGGATAGAACTCTCGCATAGCATTCATTGATAGTTATGTTGTCACTCCATGATGATACTGGCTTCGTCTTAGGATTTATGCTAACATCTCGAGTTGGATGGAGAAAATCCAGAGCCTCGAAGAATTGCTTGATGCTTCATCACATTGTCTTAGAAGAGTTCATAATATTTTAAGGGATAAGTGCACTAAACGTTCGAAAACTTATCACAAAGTGCAATTGAGTCTTAAAACTTTTAGAAAGCGCAATCAAATTATAAAACTTGTTATAAAATTACAATTGAGTCCTAAAACTTTAAAAAAGTACATTTAAGTCCTAAAACTTTTCAAGTTTGTATAATCAATTCCTAAAACTTGTTAAATTTATGCAATCAAGTTTTAAAACTTGTTAGCATCTTCGTTGTTAAGTTGGACGGAGTTAATGGAATGACTTGATTGCACTAACTCGACAAGTTTTAGGACTTGATTGCCTTTCTGGAAAGTTTTAGGACTCAATTGCACTTTTATAATAAGTTTCATGACTTGATTATATTTTTTAAAAATTTTATAATTCAATTACATTTTCATCATAAATTTTAGGATTTTCGGTACATGTATCACATATTTTAAAGAAAGTGGACAGGGCTTCAAACGGTTGCCGTGTGGACTTCCTTGTGAACTGCACGAATAACATTTCTGAGATGGGCCCCATGATGACTTTTCTTCGCAACGCTGTCATTGCTGAAGACCCGCCACTCCAGTTACGAAGGTGAAATTCTCTTAGCTATTCCTCAACCTTGTTTTATGGAAAAATAATTCCGTGGGACTTAATGCTGCAAGATTGGTAGTGTTAGGACTTTTGAATTCCCCGTGCGAAGATATTTTAGGGTAACAAGAAATCATGAATTAATATCATTTCTAAGTTTGTGCTTGTCAAAAGAGAGGGGCCTGTTTCGACATGACATATGGAGGTGAACGTGGTTGGCTGTAGATGTCTAATGACTTAAGTTAAGGGATGCAGACCTGATATCTTCGTACATGCCATGTTAGTAGGTAAAAAGAATCAAAGCATCTTTCGAGAATGATATCTTAGAGACTCTGGCGAAGCTCGCCCCCATCGGCCATTGGCAAGGTCGAGCCCGGCCATAGCGAGGCCGACCTTGCCGTCGCTGAGTTTCATCTCGCCCAATGACAACAAGTCAACCTCACCTAGATCTAGCGAGGTTGGCCTCAATCTCGCCCAGGCAACGGCGGGCGAGGCTTGCCCTCGCTAGTGGCTGGCGGGGGCGAGCTTTGCTAGAGGCCAGCGCGGTTGACCTCACCAGTGTATTGATACTTTGATAATTTGAACAAATTTGTCACATGTATATCAATTTGAGATTTTTGGTGATCCAAAAATTATTTTAAGGTAAATTTGTCACAAGTATACCAGTTTGAGATTTTTGGTGATCAAAAAATTAATTTTGGGTAAATTTATAAAAAAATGTACCAATTTGAGGTAGTTCGTGGTATTAACCGAAATTTAATATACGTCATTGACAAGATAAAAGGAAAACGAGTCTCATACTTAAGTGAAACATAAAACTAAAAAAAGGTCATGTTAGCATCAAACCAAAACTTGAACGCGTTTCAAAATTTATGGGGATGGCTCAAGTTGGACTTTAACCACCACCTTGATGCCTTCGTTCATAACCGAACATAGAGCTCCCACACTAACTCAACGAGTTAGTCTATGGATTTGCCTATTCTTCAAAGACAACAATTTAAAGAAAAAAAAAATCGATCCTAGTCAGGTCAGGACGGGTAAGGATTGGATACATATTGGATATGGGTCACTGAATTTATATTTTATATAAATAGGTCAATTTGAATTGGTACATTTTCGGCATGATCTAATCCACCGGTTGGACGAGTATAGATAAGACCAATGGGAACTTGAATTTTGAGTAGCGGACAAATCATTGCTCGCCTCAGTGGATTTAATGGAAGGTGGAGGTTTTGTCCAGGAACGACCCGTCAAGGACGACCGACGCGCCTCAATGTGAAAGGATCATCTGGACCCGTCGGACACGCCACGTAACAATCTTGTAGGACAGGTGGTGTGGGTCCAATAATTTGTTAAATCCGATATTATCACTCTTCATAATTGGGGCTTTTTTTTTTTAAATTCCTTGTTATCAGGAAATAAGAGCAAACGAAAGGTTGGATAGATTAAACGAATCGATGTTCCTACGACGTTTCCCATGTGAGCTGTCTCACTTATGCCACTGTCAAAAGAAGAAGAAGTAGGATCATTGACCTGACTCAAACTCTGGCACTTCTTCAATGAAATGCATCTGCCAACAGCACGTTGTTTACTTTTCTAACTAGCAGTATACCTGCTGGTTTAAATACGTATCTAGTCTTTTTACAATTACAATGAATCTTTTGAAATGAAAATGCAACTTTATTAAAATGTTAATAATCATAATATAATAGTGTGGAGTTTTTTTTTTATCATTTGTTAGTATCATCTATAAGCATCTCAGATGTAAAATATAATTTGCATATTGATATTATAAGTTGGTCCAACATGGATCTAAAGAGCAATATTTTTGAAAGGGATTCTTCTTCACCATAGTAGAGATTTTGCTCTCTTTTTCCGTATAAGCACTATTTCAAACTTTAAAATAACAAGCGATACTGCATAAGGTGGGACATTACAAATGTCTGAATTTCATTTTGTAATATTCTACAATTTCTTAAATATTATGTGGATAAATGGACTGTATTATTGTAACATTGTAATTTATAGAAAAGATCATCTCAAATAGTTAACTTCTCTTGCAACTTTGACCTTTCTCTATGTTTATCATTTTACACTCTCTGCAGCAAAATGGTATTTCATCGAGCCTGGACTTTGGTTAGTTTTAGTCTCAATGTGATTGGGAAGAAGATATTTTCTCGAAACTCACATTAATTGTGTTCTATCTACCAGAAAGTGAAAGATTTTCTATGAGCAGACTAAAGTCGTCGCCCTTACTAGACGGCATGGCAATTCAATTGTAGGATAAGGACACAAGTGACAACGAACAAAAGTAGGCCACATGATGTTTTGGCTTTTCATTGACGGACATGATCATCGATAGTTTCCTTGCTAGTTACGACTCACAGCCTTGTATTTTTTCTCAACTTGAGGGGCCCATGAAAGATCTGCCATGATTATTCTTGCATTGAGGAAGTCCACATATCTTCGTTTCGAAGATCACGTTGCCCGTTGATATATTTCGCCAGTTGTTTTGAAACAATATCGCACAGACACCTAAAGAGACTTAAGCTGAGAATGCTTTGTTAGTAATCCTCATGGACCCTCCCCAGAGAGATCGGGCTTTATCCAGGTTACTCTCGTGCTTAACTACCATCATTCTTCTGTTTGGGAGTGTCCTAACTTTTGCAGAAACTGGCGTGAACGAGACCGATCGGCTTGCTTTGCTGGAATTCAAGGCCCGAGTCGTCGATCCTGGCGGGGTTTTAAGCTCGTGGAATGATACTGTCCACTTCTGCGAGTGGTATGGTGTCACATGTGGTCGTAGACACCGGAGAGTCACCATATTGCACCTCCGCTCCAAGAACTTGTCCGGGACCATGCCGCCACATATCGGTAACTTGAGCTTTCTGAGGGAACTCCATCTGCAAAACAACAGTTTCAGCTCTGAAATTTCCCCGCAACTCGGGCGCTTGTTTCGATTGCAGAAATTGTTTCTTAATAACAACTCATTCAGCGGACAAATCCCTTCAAATCTCTCCCATTGCTCTAATTTGCTCGTTCTTAACTTAGGCTTCAATGCACTAGAAGGAAATTTGCCTACAGAACTCAGCTCCTTGTCCAAGCTCCAAGGATTCGTACTTCAAGTCAACAGCTTGACGGGAAACATTCCGCCGTCGTTTGGAAACTTATCATCTCTTCAAGGCTTCACAACACTGTTAAACAACCTCAGTGGTACGATCCCGGAAACTCTCGGCCAGCTGAGAAATTTAAATTTCCTCTTTCTCGGCGTGAATAAATTTGTCGGTACGATTCCGATGTCAATCTTCAATATATCCACTATGACAATGTTTGATGCGGCTGAAAACCAATTAGAGGGGGGCTTACCCAGCGACTTAGGCTTCACTCTTCCGAATCTCAAGGGAATCGGTTTGAGCGACAACCACCTCACCGGACCCATTCCTGAGTCAATATCGAATGCCTCTAATCTTGGTCAAATCGAAATCGTGTTGAACAACTTTACCGGGAAAGTTCCTTCTTTCTCAAAGATGAGAGGACTCTATTGGTTCAATATTGGCCAAAACAGCTTAGGAAGTGGGCAATCTGCTGATCTTGATTTCCTCTGCTCTTTGACCAATTCCACAAACTTGGAAATGTTGGGCATAGAGAGCAATGCTTTTCGAGGACCAATACCCGACTGTATCGGTAACCTCTCTATCACCCTTTCGTTGTTTGGGTTAAGTTACAATCATATTTCAGGAACTTTACCTTCTGGAATTGGAAATCTCATCAATTTAGAGTTGTTGCAAATGTGGGGCAATAACATCTCAGGGAACATTCCTTCCGAGATCGGAAATCTGAACAAACTAAAGGATTTAGATCTCAGCAAAAATAATTTCTCTGGGCAAATACCAGAATCTATCGGGAATTTGAGGAAGTTAACCAAATTGAACTTGTATAGCAATAATCTATGGGGCTCGATACCATCATCTCTTGGAAACTGTCAAAATTTACTTCTCGTGGACCTTTCGACCAACAACCTCAGCGGTTACATAAACTCGAAAATTCTGGGCCTCTCATCTTTGTCGATTTATCTTGACTTGTCTCAAAATAGTCTGACTGGTTCCCTTCCAGGAGAAGTTGGAAACTTGAAAAATCTTGGCGAATTACGTCTTAATGGGAACAAATTATCTCAGCAAATTCCAAGCAGTATCGGCAGTTGTATAACCATGGAGCGTCTATATTTGCAGGATAACTTCTTTGAAGGGCCCCTACCATCGACTATGAGTTCCATGAGAGGCCTTGAGGTTTTGAATGTTTCCAACAACCGATTGTCCGGTCAAATCCCGAAATTTCTAGGGTCGCTGAATCTGACGAATTTAAGCTTATCTTACAACGATTTTGAGGGTGCATTGCCTACAGGAGGAGTTTTCGGAAGTGCCATTTCAACTTCAGTTATTGGAAACAAGAAGCTTTGCGGGGGTCTACCAGATTTTCAATTACCGACATGTGACTACAAAGGGTCAAAACGGACGGGAATAAGTGGAACTGCAAAAATTTTGATATCCACGACCTCTGCTCTTGTAGGAGTAGCCTGCATACTCTCTTTATTATACTTCTTCTGGTGTAGACACAATAAGAAAGCATCTGCTGCAAGCTCTTCTGAAGATGGGCTTTTGCATGTTTCTTATCACAATATACTGAAAGCGACGCGCGAATTCTCCTCCAGCAATTTACTCGGTGTGGGCAGCTTTGGGTCTGTGTACAAGGGACTACTTGATCAGACTCAATCGATCGTGGCCATCAAGATTCTCGACCTTACACGTCATGGAGCTTCCAATAGCTTCATAGCTGAGTGCGCGGCCTTGAGAAGAATCAGACACCGTAATCTCGTGAAGGTAATCACGGCATGTTCTGGGTTTGATTTTAATGGATTTGATTTCAAGGCACTGGTCTATGAATTCATGTCAAATGGGAGCTTGGATGAATGGTTGCACCCAACTGGTTCGCAATATACAGCGAGACACGAGTTGAGTCTACTTGAAAGAGTGAATATTGCCACTGATGTTGCTTGTGCACTAGATTATCTCCACCATCACTGTGAAACGCCAATAGTTCATTGTGATCTAAAGCCAAGCAATGTCCTTCTTGACAACGAAATGACTGGACATGTAGGCGATTTCGGGCTTGCGAGGTTCCTCCCAGAAGCAACGCATAAGTTACTGGTCGATCAATCAAGCTCTGTCGGAGTAAAAGGATCTTTTGGCTACGTAGCTCCAGGTAATGATGCACAAGTTGGGCCATTCGATTTATTTTCTTATATCGAACACGCAATTGGAGACCGATCCTTAGACAAAAAGACATAGGCATGAAACATCACTGGACTATATTTCAATCTCAATTATTCACCATGCATCACTATGTTTTGTCGACTGTTGTAGAGTACGGCGCAGGAAGTGCGGTATCCACAGAAGGAGATGTGTACAGCTTCGGAGTCCTCATTTTGGAGATGTTTACAGGCAAGAGACCGACCGATGATATGTTTGAAAATGGGCTGAACCTTTATCACTTCGCAAAGGCAGCCCTGGCAGACCGAGTGGAAAAGGTAATCGATCCTATTCTTCTTCAGGAAAACCAGGAGTTGGAGAAGAGACAAACTGTCGCTCTGGATGGAAAGAACAAAAGCTTGTGTAGTACTTTGGAGTGTTTGGTTTTGATCATTGAAATAGGAGTCGCTTGCTCTTCTGAGTCTCCAAGGGAGCGAATAGACATTAGCGATGCATTGACTAAACTCCAAGGAATCAGGAAGAAACTTCTCGAGTTCATTGTCATTGCCTAGTTGACGTAGAATCTGAATTTCGTATGGAGTCATGTAATCTTTATGGTCATTGCTTTGTCTGGATGCAGAATTTGCCACTCACAGACAATTGGAATCTGGCGACAAGTAGAGGAGACTAGTGACTTAGCAATCCAAGGAATATCGAAATTGGTTATGTTGTCTCAAGCAAAAGATCTTCGTCCCCCCGGCTGTATAAAAAATACATGTACTTTGTTTTGGCTTTAGCCCAAAAGATAGAAATAGTGAACCTGCTTGAGAGTTGCACCAAGAAAATGTAATAAAAGAAAAATCATTGAAGGATGGCTCTAATATAAGTACCTCCAGATATCTGGTAATAAGGACTTTTGTCTTGCGCTCTTGCAAACTAGGGCTTCTTATTTTGGCTTTTATAACAGCAAGGAGATTGACTCCCGCAAAAAATTTAAACAGTATAATTTTTTTTTAAATGTAGTGAAAAGTAATATTTGATTGTAGGTATCAATAATTGCAATCCATATTTTACGGTTAAAGTTAGAGCTGAGAAAATATTTGTCACGTGGCACTTAACTTTACCTCTTTCATTACCACGTGGAAAACCAAGTGGCATAATTGTGCCACATGGCCCATATTCGTCTACTTAGTATTGGTTTAGTAATTTTTCATCCTCAAATGTTTATCACTTGCTAAGTTTA